ATATTTATGTTTGTGGTTGTAATGTGACAAAATATGGAAAAGTTCAAGGGGTATGAATACTTTTGCAAACCACTGTAAATCACCGATTGTTTTATGGATTTCTTACCATCAGTAGTATAATATTAGTAACTTCTTATCAAACATTGTAAAATAAGAAGCAGCATCATTAAAACACAATTCATGATGGAGAATCCAGCAACCCTGAGAGGAACAATCTGTGAGTCTGACCTCCTGATATTATGCTATGTCCACAAAAACCACAGTTTTTCAACATTCAGGCCATCYCTGGGAGGAAACGTTTGACCTTTGACTGTCCTGATTCAAACACATCCCAGAGGGAGCGGCGAGAGGAGCTGCAGCCTGAGCGTCACAAACGTTAGCGTGTTCCKCACAGGAAATCGCTTCAAGTCTCTTTGGTCTGGTCAGGAACAGAAAACCACTTTCCTGTTGACAAAACAGCGCCAAATCCAGGGAGGCAATTTTCTTACAACCACGGTAATTAAAGCACTTTGGCAAAAGGCCACGTTATTATAAAAATGAGGGAAAAGGGTTCATGCAGCCCATCTCTTTCCAGTGTGGGAGGGTTTAAACACAATAAAATGTTTAAAGAAAACAAGTTACTGTCATGACTTGTTGCTCAAACTAAATGAGGATAAAATGTGAATATCAAATTTAATAGGTTTACATTTTTTTAAAGAGAATATTAAGTAAAACATGTTTTAATACTGTTTGTATTCAGTTAACTGTTTAGGAGGTTTAGGATCAAATTAGGACACATGTGAGAATGCAAAAGTTTGTGCACCCAACGGTTTAAATAGCTAATTGAGTAAATTGAGCTGTTTGAGTTAAGAAAAAACATTTTGTTTTATAGTTTCAGCCAGACTCATAAAGGTCTGAAGCAGCAGTATAGCAGCTCATAAACATGGTTTATATTCACTTTCTCCCTGTTAAAGGTTTGCATAGTGAAATTCATGAGCTGTCTGGCCCACAGCTCCTTTCATGTGTTGATGTTTACAGGTTGTGAAGCTTCCTGTAGTTCTTTATAAATTAAGAGAATTATGATAAAGAAAACAGAACTCATCTTTTCTCCATCTAAACCTGAACTACATCATTGATTGTGCATGTTTTTGCTTGGTTTGTGGACACAAATCCATGTAATCCTCAAAGCACCACACGACTTTAAAGACAGTGTAAAGTAAATTTTAATATTTTCTTCATTAAACGTTATAAATGTCACAACTGGATTGTTGTAAGTGAGTAAAAAGGATAGGTTGTACAGTAGGTTTTAGTACACAATAAAATCAACATCAGCTGAATAACTTTACCAGCTGATTATTCAAAGTAGGAGCGGAAATGAAAATGCAGTATTTTTGAAACTAGTTGGTCAATTTAAAAAAAATTGAAAACTTCTAAAGTAAATCTTCTATACAAGCTCTTTTCTTTCTGTAACTTTTTTTCTTTTGATATCTGTTCACTGCGTTCATGCCTAAAATTAAACAAACGAGCCACATCAAATTACTGAGTTTCAAAGGTGGTGAAAGAAGAATTTTGTTGAGATATATTTTGAGATATATTCATGCGGACATAATTCAGAAGTATTTTTTATCATTATTATTTAGAATTGTGTGTTAAAATGTTTGCAAAAAACTCAACTTTTGGAAAAACAAAAGAAAGAACCAAAGTAATGATACTAACCTCAACTTCTTTTTCAGTAAGTGAAGGTGCACTGGGAAAAAAAAGAAGAAAAAAATTTGACTTTTTTGATTGAAACAATGAAACAAACAAAAAAAAAGTGGAAAGCCTTTTGTTCCTCACCAGCCTGGTAAACCCCGGTGAAGTTTGAGTTTCCGGAGCATTACGTCAGAAATATTTGGCAAAGCATCAGACTTCTCTTTCATCTCCTCTGCAGTTATTGATGATGAAGATGGTGAAGATCCTGCACATACATTCGACAAGTGTTTTTAAAAAAATCATTTGGTCTGAAGTAATGATGACAGCTTTCAGGCCGAGTCTCAGTCTGACTGGTTGTCACAGTCGGACCAAAAAAATTTATAAATCTTTTCAATATTATGAACTCTTGATTTAGTCCAGTCACTTGTCTGAACTTATAATATAATTATTATTTTTTAAACTGGTCAGTTTTTGCTAAATTCATTAAACAATCATGCCATCTGCTGATGAAAACTAAAAACGCACATTTTTTTTTCTGTGTTTACCAGTAAATGGGAGGTTCATAGAGGGGGGAACCCCCCCCCCCCCCCCCAGAACAGATCATTATTTTTGGGCAGGGACAATTTTTCATTGACATTCAGGAAGTTCACACCCTCAGTGATATTCTCCTCTTAGTACTTTCTCTTTTACTTCATTGTATGATTAAAAAAAAGATTTGTACCTTTTTCCTGTTCAGCAGCTTCGCTCAAGTCTGGCAGCTTGGATCCGCCTATACATTGGTTTCTTATCAACTTGTGCTCCTGCGCACACAAGGTCAAAAGGACAAAACATTTTATTTTTATATTTTAMCAAATCACACACACACACAAAAATAAATAAATAAAATAAAAAAATGCTGCAAAAGGAAAAAGGAGCTTTAAGTGTCGATGATTGAACGAAWGTTTTACCTCTCTAATTTTAGACAGTTTACTCCCTGGTGGGGAGGGGAAGTCCTTGTACCCCTGGGACTTGAACACACCTTCTCTTGTTTTTTCTGAAAACGTTTCCTCGACTGGAGGTGGGAAACTCTGACCTCCAGTTCTTGAATTAAGGCTGCTGACAGCGTCCCATGAAACAGCTCTCATCAGTGGAGGAAAGGCCCCGATGGTTTTGATCTCTGCTGTGCAGGGGGCCTGCTGAGTGGGAGGTCTAGGGACAGGCTTGGCCACCCCTGTGGCTGGGGCCAGGTTTTGGTTCCGACCTGAAACCTCATCTGCTTTATTGGCGGTCTGCGGACCCTTAGATCCAGCAAGATCACTGCTTTCCTTCTGAACAGCAAACCTGGGTGTGAGTTTTCCAGAGGACACTTTTCTTTTTTCGATGGGCTTCCAGTCCACCAACACCTCATCCTGGAGCAAAAACACAATCATTCAATACTTTAGGCAATGGACACAAACTTCATCAGGCCATTATAATGAGACAATTGTGAGCTGATCAGTACTGAACATTAAATACAACACTAAATACTGTAGATCAGTGGTTCCCAAAGTTGGGGTTGGGACCTCACTATGGGTCATAAAACATCAAGTATGGGTCCATAGATTATCTTAAGACATTAATTTTATGTAAAAACCTAAAGATCCATTATTCTCCTGTACATTTTTGGCATTTAACTCATTCCACCAATTTTGTGCTATTTCAACAATCCACTTATCAAAATGTTCAGCTCATTTATGCTATGGGTTGATATTTCAGCAACTTGTACTTTTTCACTTATTTAGCTTTTTCTGCCCTTTTCTTTCTCATTGAAAATGAATGGAGATGACTTCAACATACTTAAAACCCTTAAAATATTTAGAAATCTTTACTGCACTTTTCACCCTTTTTTCTGGTTCTGCTTTTCCTATCTTCTTTTTTGTGCTAAGTTCAGCTTTTTATGCTTCTTTTGGCTGATTTCTGCTAATGTAAGCTGTTTTCTGCCTTTGTAGCTGCTCTAACAGTTTCAACATGCTTCTGCTACTGTTTACTTTTGTTTCCCACTTTCAGCAAATGTCAGTTGTTCAAATTTAACTCACATACCATTTTTTCCCTATTAAACATTTTCAGCTTCAGTTTTCAGGAAAAACCTGCATTAAACATTCACATTGCATTTTTCACAGGAAATGCAATTTCTCTAATTGTGTGTGTATCACTCAAGTTTAGGACTTTCTGAATAGGAATCAAAGTGAAGTAATATTCATATTGGAAAATATATGATTTGGACCTGATAATGGTAAATAGAATAGAATAAAAAAACATGTGAGTCAGTTGCCTCCTGTCGTTTTTGTTATTTAAAGTGACAGTAAAGAATTWAAAAAAAGAAAAGGCAACAAAAGTTTTAAATTATGTGTTGAAACATTATATTAAAACTGGTTTGAAAGTAAAAGTTAATTTCTTTCACTCCAGTCATCAGCTCATGTGTTTGTAAGGAACCATGCAGTGCCTCCTGCTGACTGACCTCCTGCTCCTGGGTGGTTAAATCAGGCTGCTTCTTCACTGCAGGCACCTCCAGATGCTACAAAAACATCATTTTCATTTAATAAACATTACTTGGAARGAATGAGTTTGAGTTTTTGATGTGGTTATAGATATTTCAGAGACAACATGGCACAAAGACAGACTGCTCTACATATCTCTAACATTATTTAAAGACGATAAACAATGAATGCACCATGTTTGAAGAGTAGAAAAAGAACAAATGTTGCAAAACATTTGCTTTCATTATTAATATGACCACAAGGTTTTGTTTTTACCTGACTAAGTGACTGTGAGCTGATATGAGCTGCTTCTGAGGTTCCTGCAGATGGAAAAATGAAAATAAAAAACTTCATAAAAAATTTCTGGTTTTATTCTGCTAGTTTGCATCTTAAAACATTTGTTCTGATAAAGCCAGTCAAACCTAAACGAGCAAGTGCTCAAACAAGAATTAGTCTGATAATTTTTTTGGCTTTAAGTCAGAAACAGATAAAAAACAATAAACAAACGACTGTGAACAGAACAGATTATTTGGTATATTGGAAAAGTATAAAAATGAAGCACAAACCAGTTTGAGGGGCCGCGATTAAAGAGCTGCTTCTTGATGAACACGGTGAGGATGAGGGTGTTGGAGTTGGAGACAGACCTGAAGAGGAAAAAAAACATTAAATTGTGAATAAAATTAAAGACCAAAGATTTCTTGAAGAAATGCATACAGCCTGACTGACTGAGTCATTTTTGTCTTTAAAATTTCGTTGGCTGWGGCAGCAGCCTTGAATCCCCCTGATGTTAAGTTAAAGCAGGAACTCAGTGGC